ACTGAAGGGTTAATATTGCGGGGTTCAGCACCGCCCCGCCGTGATGGATTGGAACGGGAGAAAATGAAAAGTGATTATGAAAAAAAATACAAAGTAGGACAAATAGTGACTGACGTGTACAGTGCAGTATTTCACTGCTGTTTGACGGAGCCGCTGCATCCTGACTCTGCTCTGTGGCGTTCTTTTCTTCTAAAGCCTGCGGTGCAGGTGTGTTTTTTGGAGAGAACATAGTTATCGGTAGTTGTTTGTCGCTCTTCTTTCTCCTGGTCCAAAAGATCCTTAAAAAACCGACATGCCACCATTAATATGTTTGACAATAAAGTTTAACAATGCATGATGCAAATCCGTGAAGCAACGAGACCGTGAAAAGTTAACGGCGTTATAGCAAGGGTTCACTGTACCACAAATTCACAACACGTCATCTCAAGGCTCTTTGCAGAGAGAATGCAGTTAGATTTAAACTCCCTTTTAACAGGAAGAAACCTCCAGCAGAACCAGGCTCAGAGTGAGCGGCCATCTGCTGAGGCAGAGACAGAAGCAGACATAGAAAAGCAAAGGAAGTCATTAAAACTAAACATCGACTGATTGAGGCCTATACCTACCGACACATTTGTTCACAAATCAAACTGAACGTATCAATGGATAGCAGATGGAAAGACAGGCGGTGAATGAGCTTCATGCTGAACAAATTGCTAATGCACACACTTACCGACGGATAGAAGATTATATCAGCCCAGGGCCGGAACGTTGCTCCATCTCTGATCAAAGCGCATAAATTCTGTTAAATATCAAACTAGAAGGTTTCAAACTGACTGCATTCATTTAACCAATAGCATATATATGTAAAGGGGAAAGTTTCATGCTTTTCAAGAAATTTTTAACCCAACATAAATGAATTACAGAAACAGAGTAAGGAGATCAGCCCCAATGGATCGGCCCATTCTCACTGATGCTAGATCTGGAATTTTCTACAATATCTTGACTGATACAGTTATAATCAGATCTCGTTTGTATATCTGAATCGCTAATGTAGGAAATTATTAGCCTAGTAAACTAGCCCCATCCACCAGTGGCCAAAATCATTTTTCTAGCCTCGATCAATGCCCCAGGCCCTAGAACTGGCGGGCCAATCACAACGCTGAGATATGTTTTGAATTTCTGGATGCAAAGCGGGCGGGGTTTTGAGGGCAAGTTGACAAAGCTGCGCAACACTGGAGAAAGCACAACAAGAAAGTTGGCAACAACTATGAACAGTTCTCGTTTGACTCAGCTTTGTAATCAGTTTTGGAAGGATTAGACTTTGGGTTTTCGTTGAAACGTGAGCAGGAAGAGGCTCTACGTTCATTCTTTTTTAAGAAGGACGTATTCGCCATTTTACCGACAGGCTGTTTGTTTACACTCCCCCACCAGCTTTCTGTAGTGCTTACTACGTCACAGTCAGTTGCAATCATTGGTCAGAGCGTTGCCCAATAGGCACAGACTTGATTTGAAAAACAAAGGGTTGTTCTCATTAACAATCTTCCGATGTCTCATTCATCGGGGCCAGATTAGATTACACATTTAATCTCCAATTTAATCTGGTTTATCAGGCTATGAAGTTATAGGTAAAGCAGAGACTATAAAATATGGGATGTTTGGTTATATTTGGGGGACATTTAGTTTTATTTTAATATTGCTTAGCTTCTAAATAAAAAGTAAATCAATGCAATGCAAATCTAAACCTTTTTGGAAGCCTGTTCTTCGTGCCAAATGTGTTTTTTTTTTCTATTTCTGTTTTATTCTGTCAGAATCTAATAAATGACCCCAAACGACAGTTGGTCCCATCTAGAACTGCAGGAACCCAGATCCAACTATGATATCATTAGGGGTCTTGGTCCTGATTGGATCAGAACACCAAACACTTCAGAACATCAGAAATGATGGCAAATATTTGCTCCACAGGCATCATCAGTAAATCTTCAAGGTGATAACATCATGGCAGCACAGCCTGGACTGTTTTCTTTTCAAAGGTTATTTCTGATCATCTGGCAGCGCCTGAGGTTCTAGACTCAACCTATGTTCTGTTTGTTTGTCGTTCCAAATGAGCAGAAGTGAAAACGCAGTGAGAGAAAAGCCCCTGATTGCTGCTCCTGTGTCAAGCAGCATCAAATATGACATGTGTCTGTGATTCTGGTCGCCTCCTTAACTTTGTTTATTGACAGTTTGTCAAAAAGCACGTGTCACCCGTTTGTGTTGGCCGCAGCTGTTCTACTCGCTGGGAATGAAGCGATTAGCCCAGACTCACCTTTTATGGACTGACCCTGGCTGGCCTGGATTCCTGCTGTCTGTTTGCTTTGGATCCTCTTAGATTTACAGTCGCTTCAGATAAAATGGCAACACTCAGCCCAGAAAGGCCTCAATTATCACCTCTGTTGGAGGACGTGTTTGCCAGGATGTTTTCTGTTGTTTGGATACGTCATGGAGTTTGTGGGTCTCTGTCTGCATCGTCACAATGTTCAGCATGTTTGATACAGAATCAGATCTCAGAAAGAAACTATGAAGCTTTAATCTGTCTGGATGATCTGCTTGGATTGTCTGTAAAGTGACCTGACATGACATGTTGTGAACTGATCTGAATTTTATCATGAAAAGGATTTTTATTAAGGGTCATTTCAGATGCTTTCTGCACACAACGGAAAATGGTTTGTTTATTTTTTTCCCATTCTGGACTGTTTGATCTGGTTTCTTTTTTCTGTCTGCAACCCTTGGATTCTCTGGAGAAATGCTTTCCAAGCCTTGATGTTCAGCAGTTTGAATAGAATAGTTTTGTTTCTTCTGATGCACTTTGATAAAATATCCAACTCCCCATCTCCCAAGAATCTTTCTTCAGTTTTTTATAAACCGGTTTTTCTGCCAACAATTTCCTTGATTTAAGACAGGATCCCAAAACACTTCCTCTAAAGGAATAATTCAAACACTTGGAGAAGCTGTGTGCCTTTTTCTTCAGGACAAGTGATCAGATATTTAGCTTCTGCTAGCATTAATCTAAAGATGATTTCTTTTTTTTATCAGTCAATTTAGGATCAAATAAAGAGGGACCACTTTCCTAAAAGTCTTTTCTCCTATCATGAGGATTTTTCCTTACATAAAGGACTAAATATTTCTTACAATATGCAAAGATTAAAAACAAAAGGTCCATTATTCTATTTTAACATGTTTTTGTGGCAGCTTTTTAAAATAGTAACTGAATTCAACCCCCAAAAGTATAATTTTTTTTTATAAAATAAAACATTTACAGGATGTAACTAAACACGAACATATTAGATTACTGAATAAAAACTAAATATTGTGAAACTCTTTGGATATTGATAATTCTTTGAACCAGTGGAGCCAAGATCTTTAGTCTTTTTGTTCATTTCAAACCCAGTTTTAGATTTATTTGAGCTAAAACCAGAGATCTATTTCACAATTTCCCTTCAGACTTGAATTCTTTACGCTAAGCTAACAGAACAGAGACCCAGCCAAGTTCTGGAGGTGACCTGAGCTCAGCTGGTTCTGGTTGTGGCAACTCTTTGTATGGTGGATGAGACCACTGATTGATTTTAAAAGAGGCTTGAAGACTTTTTTATTTAAGCAACCCTATTCTGCCTCCACATGATTTTTATGATGTTGATTTTTATCTTTGATTTTATTTGCACTGTGTAGCACTTTGAGATTTTTGTTAATGAAAAGTGCGGTACAAATTGGATTGATTATTATTATCATTATTATTAGGATGGATGTTTGGGCCGGTGCTGCATGGGATTATAAGAAGGTTTAAAAGTAGTTCTGACCCGTGGACCTGCCTCTGATTCTGCTCATTTAAAATACAGAGTTTTTCATTTCCAAAATAAGAACAGTGACTATAAACCAGAACAAACCTTATTTATTTACAGACGTTATAACAGACGTTTGTTATATATGCAGATGATAATGTAATAAAAGTCTGATTGTTAATCCTGGAAACCAACATAGGATTATGGCCAAAGAAAAATTTAAATTTCCTTCAATTTTTTTGAAATTTTGAAAAAGTTCAAATGTGATATTTTATCTTACTAGAGTATTATTTTTATGTTGATAAAAAGGATTTTCTTTTCTCTCAGTGTGCAATAACACATGCCAACCACTGTGTAGCCTGTGTAATCTTTTACTTATAAGATCAGAACATCTGTGCAGAGCAGGTGCAATAACTCACCTGCTATGTAGTCTTTCCTTAGCTCTCTACTGTGCAGATATTTTCATATTTAAGGGAAACAAACAATGCAACTTTTTTCTTTTTTTTTATGCTTTTGTTTACTATATACACTCTTTTTTTATATTGTCGTGTTTTTTATCTTTTAAAGGCATGTTGCTTTAACTGTTTGTACTCTATATAAACTACTGGAACCAGAATTTCCCTGAAAGAGTAACAGCAAGAGATAAATAAAGTTGAGTCGAAGTTTTTATTTACAATTTTTTTTTCTTATCTATTCTTTTCACCAGGACTCATGTTCATATAAATAAAGCACCAATCTATTAACCCGAAGTGCAGGTGTGTTTTTATAGATCGAAATGAAAACCTTGTAAAATTAGCGTACCGTCTCTGTTAAAGCAGCTGCATAACTACGGGGAATGTGTTTGGTTTTAGCGTCTCTGTGTTGGTTTGTAGGTCCACGGTTTGCATAAGCTGGAGTAAACATGTTGATGGCTGCCTTTGCTACCGTGCTACTTGCAAACAGACACAGATAACTGTTTCTTGTGGCGTCGTTCTCGGTGGTAAACATACATATGAGCTTAGCAGGATGCAGCAAACCCAGTCAGACAGGATGTTAGCATTGTGGTCAAAATAAACACATCAAACCCACTCTGGGCTAGATCTAATTTCTCAGCACCATATTTACTTTTTTAAATGTCTTTTAACTCTGGAAGAAAATGTTTCTTACCTTCTTTGAACCTGTATGAGTGTTTTGTTTTTTAATTTTGTGTTTGCACTGATGTTTCAGAGCTGGGGTTGGCTCAGCGAAAGTTTGCCCAGTGCCTGGGGGAGTTTCAGTTTGAGTACATCGGCGATGCAAAGACAGATGATGAAAGATGCATCGGTAAGTTTGTTCTTCACACCTTCAATTTTTTCCAAAAAACTAACCGCTTGTTTCATCACTGTTTTCACTGCCAGAACAGTGCTGTTATTATTATAAAAAAAACTGATCTAAAGCAACTCTATAAAGGCTCACACCTTACACTGCATGTCTTGATGCTCAAATCTGATTTTTTTATGTAATTTTTTTCCTGAAGTAGGATTTTTTTTTTTATTATTGTGACGGCTATTTAAATGCAGCCAAATTCAGACTCTGGTGTGAATGTTTGAAGACCCTACAGCGACCTGCAGGCGCAGATGGACAGTGTAGACATGATGCAGCAGATGATGTGAGATTTGGATAAACCAGGTCATGAGAGTTCAGGCCGTAGGCGCTTTAAATACCATCGGATCTGGTTTAGTACCGCATATGGAAACGACACAATTCAGACCTATTTGGAGGTGAAACAATCGGAATCGGGTCGTTTTTGACTGTGATTAATAATTCAGATATGGGTTAAACATGGGCAAAAAAATATCACATTTTTCTTTCTACCAAATCCAAGAATGGACTTGGTACCAAAGTAAGACGTATTTAATGAATTAAATAGACAAAAAACATTTACAAAAGTCATAGGTTAAACCTTTTCATCTGCCATCACAACAATGTTTACCTATCTATTGACTCTGCAGCGACTTCTCAACAGCATTAGATTCTTTCATTAAACACCAACCCTCATACTGGATTCCCAGTACTGTTCGATTCTTATCTCTCATTTGGAATCCTATATTTTTTTTGTTTCTACTTTCCACCAATTCCACTGGGAGTTCCACACTTGCTTGCCTCAATTTCTTCTGCTTGATTACCTTTATATACATGAATGCATACTGTAAGGTTTGCTAACTACGAAAGAGGA